AAACACAGATTTAATTTTTAATTTAATTAGGTAATAAGTATAAAAATATGATTAAATCATCAAAAATTAATTAATAATTAATTACTATAAATTTGTTAAACTTTAGCGTTCTGTAGATCAGTTATTATCGATTTTTCGAAAAAGTTTGCTATAGAACTATCTCGTGAAGTTGGTAGCATCATTTCCGGACACCCTGTATATAGGTATCATAGACGCCAATATTCTGGACTTTTGGATATATTTAATAATCTGGGTTTTAAGTTTGTTGCTAAGTATAATTTGCTGCGTTATTTGTTTCCTGAATGTTACAAAATTCGAAATGCCAAAGAGTATACGTTAAATTCGATAAAATTAGCGAGACTGAAAGTTTATAGATACCACAGACATCGGAAGGAAAACTTTTTGCTTAATTTGAGCAAAACAAAATTTACCGCATTTCTTCACTTTCACTCCCAGTGATTAGGATTCCTATTAAAATGACGAAATGTGACAGGCTCGAACGAATTATGGATGGCAACGTATTTCACATTCGAAAGTCTGTGAATTCTCAAAAGTCGAATTGTGCAAATAAAACAATTACAGATTTGCTACAAAAATAGTACTTTATTCTTCGATACTGCGCCGAACACGACTTTACTTAAAGTTTATACTCGTTACTGCCTACAGCATCTAAAAAATGCCTAGTTTACTTTACTAATATCTATAATATGTCTTTCTGGGGTTTACTTTCGTTAACTTACTTATCGCAAAATAACCAAAAAGTCGTTTGTGCAAAATAAAGGAAATTTACATTATTACCATTCACCACTGGATGCCGGTATTGTAAAAATAGGAACACTTGGAAAGGAAACTGCCGATGGCAAATTACTTTGTGAAAGGTGATTTTTGCGCAAAGCTAGTATTTGTTTAACACATAACACTACCGTCTATACAAATTTTCTAAATAAATATAATCACCTTTATGTTTCAATAAAAAAAATGAATTCTAGCCGTAATATTTTCCGAAAACTGGTTCCCTAGCTTTTCAATAAATTATCCACAAAAGTCTTCTACATTGTTTCCCTTGATGTAAAATCTGATTTGGAATTGAAAAGTACTCAAGTACTCTTAAAATATGTGTGTTTGAAATTGATATCGTTCAGTTAAAACCTCTAGAAGTTATAAGAAGAGTAGAGACCGAAGTTATTTTGATTGATTCCCATCGTAGTCAACGAAAATATGAGAGCAAAATTTTCAAAATCTTGTTAGCATATTGACTAAGTAATGGAACAGGATATAAAGCTCTATTCGATTGTACCATTTGAGTAAATTCTTCAGCATTTTCAATGAGAAAGTGGCTATATGCAAAATAAATGTTGTGATTGCTCAACTATACTTAATTAGCAAAGGCGTGTTCAGTGAATTTTACTCGAAACACACATTTTTGTGGAGAGTATCTGAGCGTAAATATTAGCCGTTTTGATAATTAAATTATTGATTTTCTTGTAGATTGGCAACTTACCAATACTTTCGGTCAATAAATGGAGTCTGCATCTGCCCCGTCGGTTACAAAAATTTAAATTGGTCCAGTTCCTCAGATAATTATAAAAATAATTTGAATCGGTAGCAGACACGGTGAAAATGGTCTACTTGCAACATATCAGTAACTTTGAGAGACTTTTCAAGAAAAAAGGATTGCCGCACAAAAGTGCACGATTTTTAATCAATACGCGCCTTATGTATTTAAAATAACTAGATGGCGAGATAATATAAAAGCACTCACCAGAATTGCAATACTCCCATTGTCATGTACAGTTGTAATGAAAACGGAATGGAAAAAGCGAAACTAAATTAACGAACAGACGCTAATCGAGCAGATAAAACAGTGCACGTTACCGCGAATGCAGGACCACGCACTACTAAACTTCCATTCTCCAAGCTGGGATTTATTAATGGAGAAAGTGTTTCATGGGCTATGGTATGGGATGGGTACAACAAAGAGAATCGTGTCAAGTTTTCCTCGTCTAACGATGAAGTCATGGACTTTATCTCAGATATTCATAGCCACGTGATGTTCTTCAACCATAACAAGTCGCATCCGCCTTGTATTTCCCAATCGTCTTTAGGTTTTCTCCTATAGCGAATCTTTAGTTGCACCGTCTACAAATAATGCTAATATATCTAACAAATATGTTCTTCGATGTTTAAATTTGAAGTACCTACAGTTCTTCAAAAGTGCAAATTGCTTTATAGTTCACTAATTAGAACCACCATTCGATATTGCAAATTGCATTGCCTTTAAATATGCTGCCTCGCTATGCTCATGATCAAGGCATGTATTTTTATGAAATGGATTCGAACTCTTAACTTCTTGCATTTGAAGCAAATGTACGTATTTTTTTACACAGCCACGCCAATCCTAATAATCACCCGAAAAAGTGTAAGTCGAACTAACCAATTTCCTCATCTCAATGGTATGGTGATCAAAGTAACTTCTCGTCTTGTCCTACCATAAGAAAACTAATGCATGAAAACGGGACGAACTAGCAGTCTATACAAAGGATTAAATTAAATCCGGCTCGTTGTAAAGGGTGTTCCAATAAGAAGGACGGATTTAAATTTTGAATAAAACATACATATTTGGGGCATAAATTTGAAACATTTATTGAAAAATGAAGTACACATCATGAGGTTATGAATGGAATAAGGCCTCGGCCAAATGGGCGTCTCGGCTTTGCTGGCACAGACGTGCTCTTTTCATGAAATTTTGTGCATATAAATTTTGCGGTATTTCAGAGATACAGCGTTGAATTTCATCTTTTAAGGCTTCAATCGTTGTTGGTTTGTTCACATAAACTTGTGATTTTTAAAAGCCGAAAGAAAAAGTCCAAAGGCGTTAAATCGCATGATCTGGGCGGCCAATGCCGATCTCCAAAACGAGAAATAACACGACCAGGAAATGGCTCGCGCAGTAAGTAAGTTTCTCTAGCTGTATGGCATGTTGCACCGTCCTGTTGAAACCACATGCCGTTGAGATCCATATTTTGCAATTTTGGCACAAAAAAGTTAGTTAACATTTCACGATAACGAACACCACTTACGGTTAATGCTTGACCAACTGCATTTTCGCAGAAAAATGGTCCGATGATGCCTCCAGCCCACATGCATACCAAACAGCGACTCTTTTTCGATGAATCTGTTTCTAAACGATCACTCGTGGCTTTTCGGAACACCAAATGAGACATTTTGTCGATTAACGAAGCCATCCAGATGAAAATAGGCCTCGTAACTAAAGATAATTTTCGTTGAAAAATCACCGTCCAATTGTCGTTGTTCCAAAATCCAATCAAACAAGGCTCTTCGTTGCCCATGGCCTTCCGGCTTCAGCTCTTGAGCCAATTGAACTTTGAGCCCATAAAGATCTTTTGGTAAAATTCGATGCATGGTGGTTGTGGAAATACCAATTTTCTGAGCTCTATGTCGACTTGATGTGGTTGGGCTATCCTCGACATTTACACGTACTGCTGCGATATTTTCTGTCGAGCGCGTGTTTCTGTTTTCACTGCATTAACAGACTCTGTTTGCTGAAATTTCTTCATTCATTTTCTCACAGTGGCTTTAGCTGGCCCATAATTGTACGCATTTTGCGAACTGTGGCTGCCAAACTTCCACCCCTTTGATAATATTTTTTTACAATGAGAATTCGTAATTCTGGAAGATAGATGCCTTCGAAATATATTGTTGGCGCAAAATGCTGAAAGTGTGCTGGACTCAGAAAAGAACCAACCAATCGATTCTGGACCAACCCAGAATTAAGAAAAGATTGAAAATTGTGGTAGTTAGAAGAAAGAAGAAATGGTCTTGAGAGACTCACACTTCGAAAGCACAGTTCCTGATAAAAGATCAAGAGGAAGGTTTCCCACAAGATACATGGTACCTTATATTATAACCGGTCTAACCGGCAACTTACTCAAACATTCAAGATGGCAGAAGATAGACAGGAATGGAAAGGCATCACAGAAAACAATACATGAACTTATGATGCTCGAAACCGAGCAAACGACTAAGAAGGGAGAAGCGTTTTGGGATACCTAATCAAAAAAAATTGGTTACATAAAATTACATTTTATGAAATGGCATTAAATTTAGAAACATACCTTTTGTGTTTCGGCTCGCCATCATTAACTTACTTAACTACAATGTGCACTTGTAATTACCGTCGTTTTCTTATTAAACTAAGTGCTTTTCAGAGAAAACTGTCTGAGGAACAATAAATGAGACCAAAACCATTTTTCGTCGTCGTTTAAACTTTATGTGGGACGTGCACCTCATCAACAATCAGTCATTAGGTAACCTCCCAAAATAAGTAATATCGTCTCAAAAATTTACGAAACATTATTTTAGAAATCAGCAAAACATCAATTTAAATTGTTTCTTATGCGATCCATTTTAATTGCACCGCATTTAAGTGAAGATTTTACGAGATTCGTATATACATAGTTACTAACACATCAATTGTTTATGTACACACATTTTTTTAACGCTATTTGAAGAATATCCAAATATTTTTGTGGTGCAGCAAAAATGCAATTTTCATTTTTTGATTCCTCTGTTAATAAAATATGTTTCAATGCGTTATTCTGGTATTATGGTGATGACAAAACTAACTTTAGAATTAATTTTCACTGCATAGTGGTTCGATGCACTTGATCTGGTTGGGCTATCCTCGACATTTCCACGTACTGCTGCGATATTTTCAGTCGAGCGACCAGGACGAACGCGTTTCTGTTTTCACTGCATTAACAGACTCAGTTTGCTGAAATTTCTTCATTCATTTTAACTATTAACAATACATGTGCTTCCGAACATGTCAGGAACCATTATTTTTCTTATAGCGCCATCCCTGAGATTAAGGCCTGATCCAATTCGCTATTGTTATTCGTTAAATATCGGCCCCTATTAATAGCACTTCGTTGGAAGGAAATGTTGGCAGTTTTCTCAAAAAGTCTTGATTTCAAGACGTTTTAGATTTGCGTGTTTGTATTTGAGCTGCAAAATCGACTCAAACATGCTACTGATCGTTTCGATTTCGATCGTTTCGCAAGAACCATTTGGTGCTTTGACTAAGTGGTTGACGGTTTACCACCAATCAAATTGCATCTTGATGTGTACTAAATTCGAGACAATTTACTTAACTTTCAAAGCCTTGAAAATGCCTCGAAGAGTTCCTCGTCTTTAATACCCTGTCCGTTAATACTTACTTAGAAAGGTTTTAAATGCGGTTAATAAAACACAATCTCAGACTTTAGAGCTCCCATAACGTTATAAAATATATTCATTAGACAACAACTTGACATCAGATATGACACAGAAATTGTACCAAACTAATTAATAAGTAGCTTAACATTAGTCAACACTTAAAATAGAATTATGCTTCAAACATTTCTGCAGTCTTTGAACTGAAGACACGATATACCAAAATATATCTATATGCCAAATACGTAATTGTGGAATATTAAATACGGGTAGCTTAGGAAATTACTTGTCATGGATTTGTAATACTAATACAGATATTTAATATTTGGAAATTTTAGAGATTCCAGGGAAATCAATAATAGATACAGCTGTTTTTTGAGCTTACAACTCGATTTTTCATATTTCATGATAATCTAGTAAGCCATTATTTTTAATGTGCTAAAATTTTGTAGTTGTGCCTCTTCATTTTATTTAATAATACTATTTGAACAACCTACTCTGAACTATTTCCAATGTTTCTTACAAGCTTTTAGGAAACAAATATGGGTCTAACATAAAAATAAACATCTTATGAATTAAAAATAACTTATTCATTCCGACAAATCTAAAATCTGGAACCCCATGAATTGCTGTTTATTTTATCGTTGACGCTTTACGAATTTAAATGCGGCGATCTCCGTGGGGAGAATAGAGCCATGTGATATCACATTCTAGATATATTTGGTTCAGTAGTTTCATTTTCAGGTCTGTTTGGTCAAGTTACCAAAAATCTAAATTTGTTATTTGATATTATAAAGGTTACGGTTTGGAAAAAACGGAAAGGGTAAGAGAGAACAGCATAATTAGTTACTACTACTATTGTCCTAGTGGTAACTTTTACATATGATATTTACTCACTACCAGTTGCAATAAAATGCTTTTAACGCAATAGAGAGACTATCTAATCCCTCTTTACCTACAACAGCGCCTACACAAACACAGCTTAAATACCTTAAATTACTTAGAGATGAATGGAGTGAGGTCAGGTAATTTAAATCCGGAAAAATCAAATGAACTTGAGGCTGGAAATCGTGACGCTTTATTTACTGTCCTAGATCGAGTATTGCGCAAAGCTGGCGGCACCAATCCAACGGGAATCTGCTGTTTTCTTCCAGCTTTTAGTAAAACTCCACATTGAGCTGCGCAAACCTCGTCTCTAATTACAATTTCTTTTGACCATTCTCTAAGCAACTGATTGCAATCTGTTACTTTCAGTGAAGCACAGTTACCCTAAAATAAACATCAAAAAGTAGATATAATTTAATTAATAAGTTGTTCTTTATTGTTGTATGAGTGCCCAGGCTTTAAATTTTTAAAATAAAAAGCCGGAAATTATTTCTAATTGCTTGTGAAAGAAGAAATTCAGTCTTTTGTTGTCTATGTTCTCACGCCCCATTTGAGCGACAGAATTCGTTTTGGCATCGTTGAATAGAGCATTGAAAATTTGAGTCAGTCATAACCAACATTAGTGAAGCAGTTCGAGTAGTTTTGACCCAGAAAGCGAAATTTCAATATCAGACACTTAGATAAGTTCTATATTGTTGAGGCGGATTCATTTTTTACAAACTTCTTTTTGGGTATTTCGCCTCAAAAATTTTTGTCTTTAAAAAAGACAGAA